CTGGCTCGGCTGATCCAGAACTCCTGCAGGCGCTGCATCTTAGCCTTCGGGTCGAAGCTCATCTCCTTCACCTTTCCTAAAAACAAAAACCCACAGAACCTGAAAAGGCACAGTTCAGAAGGTATGGCTATATTCAAACAGCATGCAAAAGCGACCCAAATCCGCTTTTTTTTGCCCACATGTGACCTACATCTGACTTTTGGGTGCCTCAAAGGACAAAATTATGTTAACGTGTAAATAATTTCACATTCAGTGATGAAAATGTGAGGTTTAAGCATCATTTAATATGGGAATACTTTGAAGGTTTAACTTCATATTACTGACCTTACCTTTTGCTAACCTTACCTTTCGCTAACCTTACCTTTCGCAAGATGATGAGTAATCATGAATTTTCCAGACAGGTCTCCTGAGGCTAAATCACACCGGAAGTACAGATACACCGCATCTGTACTTCTGGTGTGAAAAGGCCTCAGGGCCTATCAGCCCTAGCTGATGTTGTTAGCTCTAGCTAATACAGGCCTGCCGTGTGAACGTAGCTTTTGACGTGAAAACTGAGAGGAGGGACAGTTAAATACCTGAATCCACAACAAACCGGACCCCATCTATTGTAACTGAGGTTTCAGCGATGTTGGTGGAGATGATGCATTTTCTTACACCAGGAGGAGCGACGTCAAACACCTGAGGAACGTCATCAGTTCAGAGTTAGCCATCAGAAATGATCTCCTTTATTTAAACATGTTCCGATGGCGCCCACCTTGTCCTGCTGAGCGAGAGAGAGGGTGCTGTGGAGCGGCAGGACTATCCAGCGCCGGGTGTGTGTGGCGTAAACCTGACAGGCCTCCTGGATGTTGGAGATTTCCGCCACGCCGCTGAGGAAGAGGAGCAGATCCCCACGCTCCTCTGGAGGGTAGCGCTGATCGATGCCCTGCAGGATGCGCAGGTACGGCCTGGGATCCAGCTTCTCTGAGCGAGAGGGCTGCTCCTCAGGGGGGATGGGCTGGTAGATGACCTGGGTGCAGGAAACAGAGCATCACTTCTCTCTGTAACGCGTTACTCCAACCCGACACCTTGTTTCAGTAACGAGCAGAGTTGAGCTGTAACTAGTTACATTTACTTGAATATTTTTTACTATGCAGTTTTAACTTTTACTTGAGTCATTTTATTGTGAAGTATGGCCAGAGGTGGGTTAGGGTTTTTTGAAATTGAAAATAGTCAACTTTCAAACTCAGAAAAATTATTTTTTTCTATAAAATTTCTGAAATTAGTCTCAAAATTTCTGAGCTTTTTGGAGAGTTTTTACTCTTTTTTTTCTATCTATAACCACCCTAAAAACAATTGTACTACACTGAATGAAGAACACGCTTGTTTTAACCAAAAATTCACCAGACCCAGACACAAACCTGCAGTTTCCGTTATTTTCAAAAGTTTTATATTGAAAGAAACAAATTTGGAAAATTTTCTCTTGTTCAATTTTGTTATATAAATTATTTTCATTTGGTCTTTAAAACACCAACATTTCTACTTCACTTTATATTTTGGTTCAGATTATGATGTAAATTTTAAATGTTAAATGATCTTAATCAATTACTTAGTACTTGAGTAAACTTTTTACCAAATACATTTTTCACTCTTACTTGAGTAATTTTTGGATGGCTACTTTTTACTTTTACTTGAGTAAAAATATGTTGAAGTAGCTCTTACTTGAGTAAAATTTTGGGGTACTCTATCCAGTGACTTTCAGTACTTCTCAATGTCCTGGACGTCATTGCAGTTTGATGTAACGGAGACAGAGCGCAATTGCCCCCTAGTGGAGGACGAAGTCACTACCACTCGATCCCAGAAGAGGCTTACTAGCTGTTCTTGAATAAAAATAGCAAATAACATTTTTAAAAAAAATCTTTTCAATTGTTTTCCTACTGTATTTGCATTGTTTTTAAATTTATGTTAACTAATATGGATTGATATTTTTTGCAACCCATTTTACAGTAAATTGTAAATCCTTTTTTTCTTTACGGTTATATCTTGTATGAAATCTACTTATAACAACTGCATAGAATCTTTTTATACTGCACTGGAGGTATAAAAATAGTCTCCCAATCTATAAAACTATCTAGCTTCAAAAATATCAAATTTGAAGAAACATTTGGAACATCCCTGCATGTCCTGACTGTCTGCTGTTTACCTGAATGGGAAACAGCCGGCCTGGTACCTGCAGCACCGGGGCGCTGCGGAAGTATTCAGAGAAGAGCTTGATGTTGATGGTGGCTGACATGAGGATGAGACGGAGGTCCGGCCGATCGGCAAGTAGGGAGCGCAAGACGCCGAGGAGGAAGTCGCAATGGAGATGTCTCTCGTGGACCTCGTCCACGATGACCACCTGGTACTGATCCAGCATTTTGTCCTGCTGGATCTGACGCAGCAGGAGCCCCTCGGTCAGGAAAAGCAGCTTGGTGGCCACCGTCCGAGAAGTTTCAAAGCGGATTTGATAGCCAACCTGGAAATGTAGGAATACATTAGGCAACCTATTATGCTTCCTTTAACAGATTAGGATAGATCTATATGCTATACAAAGCATGTTCATTACATTTTTGCACAAAATAATTCTTAGATCATGAGATTTTAGTCTGATCAGTTCTGCCTATTTCAAGATCCTTTCAGAATGAGCTGTTTTAGGCGTCTTGTCACTTTAAATACAAATGAGTTGCAGCTGGCCAACTCAACATTTACACTTTCACATGAAAATGGCTGCGAAAAGATGCACAATTATGCAACCATACATCTTTGAAAAGCAAAAGTGGAGCCTCCTGCATAACCAACAATAATACAGCAAGTAGTTTCTGGATGGTAAGTCAACTAGGCAGTGCCCAGGGGTTGTGACTTAACAATCAGGAGTTTTTTGAAACTTCTCAATGTCTGAGTTATTTTTAGAACCAGTGGAGACTCAAATGGAAGTACAAAAATGTTCAAAAGGTGAATTTTGCAAAAAATAGTTCCCCTTTAAAGTCAGCAATATCAATACAACATCTGTTCTGATTCTTTAACTACTTTATGAAAGAACAAGATTGAAATTAGCAGTTATGAATATTGGCTTGATGCTGATATGTTAAAAAATGACTGATATCAGCCGATACTGATGTTAGTGGTGATATTTTGTACATCTATGGCTATATTCCAAACTGTTGCAGTACAATACAAACTACATCATAAATGGGAGAGTAAATATAATTCAGGGTTATAAGCCTGGCGGGCCACCAGGCTAAACACTATTTATTTATTTTAGGTTTTGTTACGTTTGCCTTTAATACTTTGTAGTTGGTGTTTAGGTACTAACAATGACTTCCAATAACACATAATTACCTCATTATATTTTCAAGTTTCCTGTCAACTTTAATCATTTTTAACTGAAAAACGCGGTGGGCAGATAACTGCCTAGCACCCCTACCACCGGGCTTACCAAGTTTTCAGGGGGAAAACCGGAATGCGTGTCTTGTTTGTTAATCTACTACATGTTAAGAACCTTTATCTCCCTTACGTCCAGGCGTTTTTAAATGTATATTCTGTATGGACCAACCTTGGATCCGAACTGATTGAGGCTCTCAAAGCTGACTCTCTTTGCGAGGGAAATGCAAGCGATCCGGCGGGGCTGGGTGCAGGCGATGTGGCTGAAGCCAGCCGAGAGCAGATACTGGGGCACCTGGGTGGATTTCCCGCAGCCCGTGTCCCCGGCCACCACAATCACCGGATGAAGCCGCACCAGCTCCACGATCCGATCTCGGTACTGAAAGATAGGCAGGTTCTTCTGCTCCCGGCGGAGCTTGGCCAGTTTTCCAAAGCTCTGTTTCTGACTGAAGTCCAGGAAGTGCAGCAGAGCCAGGCGGCAGTCCGAGACCTCCTGCGGACCTGGTCCCGACGATCTCTGCCTGCTCCTGGGATCGGACTTCCCCAGTCGCTTCTCGATATCCCCGGTGCACACGGAGACATTAATCCTGTACCGAGCGTCGTACTCTTTAGGAAGCCCCAAATCCACTTTTTCAGAACCAGACCTTTTCTTTTCTTTGACATCATCTCTAATTCCAGAACCAGACATTTCCCGCTTTGCTTTGAATCTCTGGAAACGGTCAAAGAAAGCCCAGAACTCTTTATGTTCGGTGGAGCCAGCCTGGATGTAGTCCTGTTCACGGAAAAATATCTCATCCATCTGGGCTCGGTTCTGCGGGCTTCCCCAGTCCCAGCTCCGGCCGTCTCTACTCCTGTCCCGATCCATGTTTACTGGAAGTTTTCAGCATCCAACTACAGCAGACCAACTATAGAATGATTATGATAAACATCAGGTCTGAAAACACAAACACCTTCTGAAGCCATCACATTGAACGGCAGGCTAACGAGCTTTCCACCGAAATAATTTCGAAATATTTAACTTTTATTTACTCCAAATAAATCAAAGTCGAGTCCGTAACACTGCCAAACACTTCTACATGTGAGCATGCGGGAAAAAATTAATAATAGATTATGAGAAAAAAAAAATACTAGGTAATAAAAACGAAAGCGTACAAGTTACACAGCTACCAATAGGGAACAAAAATACGGTAGGACATCTTCCGGTCCGTGCCCTAAAACAATCCGTCGCACTTCTAAACAAATATACCCATAGACATAATATAAGAATAATATTATCTTATCTATTAAATTGATGGTTGGTATATTGTCTATGAATATACCAACCACCGGAAAAAAAATATTAGTATATGTGTTTTTGATCCAAGCTCTAAGGAAAAAGTCTCAGAACTTCTGAATTTTGACTTTAATCTCAAAATTCTACCCTTTTCTCCCAGAATTTAGGAAAAAACAAAAACAAACAACCCCCCCCTCCAAATCGGTTACAAAAAAGTCCCAATTCAGAGATTAAAGTCAGAAATCTGGCTGGTGAGAAAATACCTAATTTAATTATTCACGTGAAATCTAAATCTGTTCTAATATACTCTAAACTACTATTTTCTGAAGAGTATTCGTAGTGACTGAGGGCTCTTTGAACCATAGACCCAGTAAATGCTGAGTCACTGGTTGCTATTGGGATTGTCGCCTACTTATGGGAGAGAAGAAAACACCAGGCCCACAGTTTTCATCAAAAGGGCGAATTATAGCCGCAAACCAACAGTAAGTTAGAGACAACCATTCAACTATTGTTGAACAGTCAACAGGGTTTTATGTGGGGTAAACAAGTTTAAGTGATCTTTCAATGGCAGTTGCAAAAGAAAAATTCAAAGCAGAAATATCTAAAAGTTTAAAACTATCAATACCTCAGCAGTGGATAATTCACATGGGATGAAGGGTGACTAACATTTTTACGTGGCCAATTTCAACATTGAATGATGAACCTTCATGGAGCTGTAAATATTTTCTTACACTTCTCTAAAATTCATCATTGGGAGGGGAATTTTGATTTTTTTGTTATGTCAAACTCCGCAGTTCATCGTTAATAAACATAAATCAACCTTTTAAGGCACAGTTGCGATGACTTTTTTCCACAAATAGGGAGGAGCTTCTACCTGAAAACTATGATAGAAAATAAACATACTGCATAGTAACGGATGCTTCAATGCTGAAGTCTAAGATACAAAACAATACATAATATTTTGCATTAGACAAAGCAGTTAAGAATTTAAATGTGAACAATAAGAACATTTTAAGTAAAATCAAAATGACCAAAACACTGGAAGCACACTTGACAAATGAATCATTGTTCTGATTCAATGAAATATCACATTTTCTACTGGAAATTATACATTTTTTTAAATCTAAAAATACTTCATTAACCCAGGATGTAAATTAAATTCAATCAATAAAACATTGTCTTTGTTTCCAGAGCAACAACTTTTGCCCACCTTATGATCATCAGAGGGCAAAATCCAGGGGTGCACACTCCAGAAACCTGGACCAGGACTAAACCTAAACATTTGAGGTTCCTAATGTTATTTACAGCTTCCCACTATAATGGAGCTTCTGATTCAACAATTAGTTTTGTTTAAATAAAATACATTATGAACACACCAGAAGCAAATTAACTCATGCTTACACAAAAGGTAATTTAAAATATTTTATTAGAAGCCATCTGCTATAAAATACACATTTACAATAATTTCAGACTAATTAAACTGTTACCTAACCTTTAAATTTTTCCAAACAGATGAAAATCTGTGTCTCTGGAAATAAAATTATATCAGTGATGGGAACTTGTGAAAAAATGATGACTGATTTTTAAAGGAATTTCTAATCGGCTTAAATAAACAAAACCTAGAGGATAAGATCAAAAGAAGTCAAACAGCTTTCATTTACATAACTCAGTTTGCTCTTGAATGCAATTTTGTGTAACAAGTTTGCCTTAAAACTATGTCCTATGCATCATATAACATTTGTACTCCATCAAATAATAATAAAAACACAAAAATAAAACATCTATTTACATTTAAAACAGTTAACCAATCACCATCCTGGTAAAAAAAACAAACAAAAAAAAAAACAATCACAGTAAGTTTAATAGGCATAGCACTTGCTGTAAAAGTTGTTCATCTTCCAATGTCGCTACAGCCAGAAGTCAAGTCCACTGAATCCGCTGGATGGTCTGTCAGATTGGAGTCTCATTGAATTCATTTTTCAAGTCAACAGTTTATATCCGTAATGATCCTGTTTGATAAGGTTAAACTAGTCTAGACTCCAGTATTCTCCTTGATCCAGCCACGAAATTCACTGACTGTGGTGTAGATCCCTGGTTTATTCCTACGAGCGCAGCCGTCGCCCCAACTGACCACTCCTGCCAGTAACATACAATCACCTTCCAGAATGTTCAGAGGTCCACCAGAATCTCCCTAAAGGAAGGAAACACAGATATAAAACTATTATAACCAACATGGAGGCAATAGTAGAGTAACAAAAAACAGTCAGTTTCTGCATATTTCACAGGCTGAAAATCTTGGGTTGTTCTGTTCAATGTGTTCTAAAACCTATTAATTCATGATAGACAAAGAGGGAGAGCAAGGCAGGGGAAACATTAATTTTGGATTTTTAGAACTACAGCAAAAATATGACATCACTAATTCATAATCGTGCATTTCTAAATTAATATACTGTTTCTAATATAGCTTAATTATTTTGTTATATAAAGTGTTACAATTGTACATTTATGAATTAATGTTTCTAACAATATGTTAAGTGTGGGCAACTGTTGAAGGCTTTTTTTTATGACGTCGACACCAGGAAGAGTAGCCATTGTTATGCTAATGGCTAATGGCTAATGGGGATGGGGGGAATGGATCCAAATAAACAAGCGAACAAACCAACCACTCCTTTTTAATCACTGGCTTTATCACGCGACCTCTCATTTCCCGCGCCTGCGTCTTGTAGTTCCTCTGCGTTTCGGAGCGGATAACGGACGAAAGCAGAGGAAAACGGGGGCTGCCATAGACATAATATAAGATTCATATTCATATTATATTATGTCTATGGGGGCTGCGGTCCCCTACGAAGTGCGCAGCCGGATGCAGGGTAAAGAGGTGAACCTGTCATCGACCACGAAGACCGTGTGTGAGTAGCCTTTATTCCCGCCGAAACTGCGAGGTATGTCCTGGTGCCTGGCAACCATGAAGCCACATTGCTAACCGTTTGTTGCTAATAACACTTAAGTTAGAGTTTCCTTTATAGATTCATTCGCTTTAAGCCTATTTTGAAGGATGGCGTCTGATCACCTCTTGGTTGAACTAGATTATTCTACACTGAGAGCAGATGAAAAAACAAACAAACAAACAAACAAAAAAAAACACAGTTTGAGATTTAGAGCCCAAGCTAAAATTGTTTATTGGCTAAATTCTAAAATCTTGAGCCGTGTGCTATACATATTTTACACATGAGCTTTTAGTATTTTAAATAGCTAAAGGAACCCAATATAACAAGGTTTTCATATAAATGTACCACTAAATTGTACTTTTGTACAATTGCTGCCTCATAATTCAAGCAGGACAATTATCCCAAGTATATCTAGAAGTGGGCTGCATTATGGAGAAATTTGTAGAACTGTTTAACGGTTTCATAAACATAAATTAAGGAAAATTCAAGATGCAACATAAAGAAAGGGACACAAAGCAAGATGAAAAGTAGACCAATAAAGTCAAAGTAAAGGAAAAATAAACTCCTAACCTGACAAGCATCCACTCCTCCTTTCAGTACTCCAGCACAAAACATCTTGGATGTGAGACGATAGCTCATTAATTTATTACACTCGGTATGGTTTATGATTCGGACTTCAGCTTTCTGGAGGACTTTCGCAGCAGTTCCTGAATAATAAAAGAAAAAAAAAATCAATAGAATCATATAACCATGTCACTGATCATTTGCACTAGAATAATCTAAACACTAAAATATCTTATAAATATAAGAAGACTATAACCTCAAACATGGTATATGTAAAACACAAATGTCAAAACCTAATTGCCTAAGAGAATATATTAATCCTACATTTCATCAATCAGAAAAAGCCTAAAATGTTTTTCAGCTTTTGCTGGTATATAATCTGATGCCCTTTAAGCTCAATCATTTCATTTAACATGTTCTAGTGAGTATGGGGAATTATTTGAGGTCATACTTAAATGTATTCCTGCACACTCACCTCCCTCTCTTGTTGCTCCCCACCCTGTGATGAACACAGTTTCGCCGACTGGAACCTTGTAGTCGGCATTTGGCAAGCAGATGGGCTGAATGTGATCTGAATATTTGATGGGGCTGTCCAGCTCCATCAGGGCGATGTCGTTGTTAAAAGTATTAGGGTTGTAGTTAGGGTTAGATATGATCCGCTTCAGCTTCCTTTTTACAACAAATGACTCAATCTTCCGTTGGTCATGAAGACCGAGGAAAACCTCCCATGTCGCAGGCTCTCCGAATCTGAGATCAAACAGGGAGGCAGATTAATTCCTGATCAGATTCAATGGGAAAAGAATAGATACAACTGTAGTATACAGAAAGTCAAAAGTTATGCCATTAGATCAGAAGGAGTTATAAAGACAGCTGCAATGAATATTCATATATTCAGTTGAAAACAACTGAATACTTGGTGAGGCTCCATGTCAATTTGTGCATTAATTTCATATCCACTGTTTGCCATGATCTACTTTAGTATTTACATTTGTTGTATTTTTAACCTACAGACCAACCATTTTGTACCAAAACCATGATGTACAAGTATATTTGCATTGCTGACATGAATGAGTGATGGGGACAAATTACTATTTAAATCCTCAAGTTTCTTATTTAACTTTTATATTGAACTCTTTTCCCATGAGGTTTAGTTTTGATCTTTTTGGTCCTGCTGGCTCTAAAATTCAACAGATTAGATTCAAATCAGAATAAATAAAAGACCTTCTGATGGTGTATGCCATCTACTGAGCCATTAAACCTTATGTTATGTATGGCAGACTTTGAATAAACAATAGAAAATTACTTTAAAAGCAGATGCAAAACATTTTTCTGGACGGTATGAATTGATGAAGCTACCAAAATTTCAAAAGGTAAGCACTGGCATTTGAATATTTACACAGTATAGAAGTTCATGTAATAATTAAGCAACTGAAGTAACTGGAAAATACTAGATATTTTCCATTTGCACTCTTATGTAAATGGTCTGCATTTGCATCAGAGTGCAAATGCAGCCGATTTGGCAAAAAAAATAAAAATCCTTCACCCAGAACTAGATCTCATCTCTTTTAACTACTATGTTTATTATAAAGCTCAAAGGTTGAAGTATGTTGCATTTGAAAAGGCATAAACTGAAGTTTTACCTAAGGTTACCGTCATTTTGCACACAGTGGGCAGCTGTGACCAGCCAGTTTTCACTGATGATGGACGCTCCACACACATGTCCATAATTCTGGAAGTGAAGGCTGACTTGCCACGGAAACTCCCCTTGTGCGGCGTCTTCTCCGCCCACAATACGCGTCGACGACCGTAATTTTTTCCTTCCACAGGCTGAAAAGTAAACGGATGGTAACAGGTACACATGTGGGAACTTGTTATGTTAAAACCTGTTTGGTTAGAAAGGCACAACTCAAAAGATGAAGATAAGCAGGAGTTGTTTCATCTCAGACATGTTTAAATTGCAACATACCACAGTTCTCCTCATCAGATCCATCTTCACAGTCCGACGATCCGTCACATACTGGGTTCTTCTTATCAATGCATTTGCCGTTCTTGCATTTGTATGTAGATTCTGTGCATTGTACCTCAGAATCTGGGGAAACAAAAACAATTTTGAATCTATCTTTTAAATCAGATAACAATAACAGGGCATTTTAACATTTTCTGCTAGATTAGCAACATGCCTTGCTAAAGTATTCATACTCCAACTTCTTCACAATTTCCCAATATTACAACTACATAATTCAATGCATTTTATTGGGTTCCATTTGATAAAACAACTGTGCATCCATCCATCCATTTTCTTTACACCCTTGTCCCTCAGTGGGGTCGGGAGGGTTGCTGGTGCCTATCTCCAGCTAGCGTTCTGGGCGAGAGGCGGGGTACATCCTTGACAGGTTGCCAGTCTGTCGCAGGGCAACATAGAGACACACAACCATGCATACACACACACTCACACCTAGGGGCAATTTGGAGAGGCCAATTAACCTGACATGTTTTTTGGACGGCGAAAACCCACGCATGCACAGGGAGAACATGCAAACTCCATGCAGAAAGACCAAACTCCATGCAGGGATTGAACCTAGAACCTTCTTGCTGCAAGGCAACAGCTCTACCGACTGCACCAATTTGCAGCCCCTACAACTGTGCATATTTGTAAAATAAAATAGTAATTGTAACATTGTCTATGTTTAAAGATCCTATAAGTGGTGTGCTTTTATATTCACCACTCAGTTTAAACTTTGTAGAACCACCTTTTGTAGCAATTAAAGCAGGAAGTCTTTTGCTGTAATAATTAAGTTTTGACGTTTGAATCTGTACGATTCTGTAACAAAATATTTTCAATTCCGATTCTATTTTGAGATAGAAAT